TAAGTGAACAATGCACTCGCCCAACGGTCGCACCGTCAACATATTATTGTTGATTGATTGTGTCGATTTAAATGTGTAAAAATGTAATGGTGTTTGAATGTTACTGGTGTGATCACACAAACTTGTCACGTAGGAAATTTTTTTTAATGAAACGAGGCTATTGGTGTACCTGTAACTTACATCTCTTTCATATCGTTCTCATCAAATGCATGTTTGCTTTATTCATTGGATCTCCTTTGTAATTCCTGCATTTTGGTTAATTCGGTATTATAAACAATTTATTGCATAATAGAGACATAAAGATTTCTTCGCAAATGAAAAATCATATTTCCCTCTGGCGTTGCCTTCGGGGAGTATGATTTTTCATGGGCGAAGAAATCTTCATGTTGCCCTCGCGGAATATGATTTTTTATGGGCGAAGAAATCTTCATGTCTCCCTCACTATCATGCAATAAATGCAAACTGTGAACTTGTCAAGTCCGAAACACACAAAAGGGTATCGCTGATATCATACAGAGTGTATCATTGCCTTGATCAAACCCATAGGAAGCAAATTCAGTTTTTTTTTGTTTTTTGTTTTTTTTTTTTGGGGGGGGGGGGAGGGGGCACAGCCATACATTTTCAGTTGACAGTTGAGGGGGCACTACTACCATAAATTTCCTGACAAGCAAAAAAAAAAAAAGGTCACCAACTACCAAAAATTCCTTGACAAGCAAAAAAAAAAAAGAAGGTTATCAGACGTTTTTATTGAGGTGGCACAAGCTATAGTATCTATGTCTACTATTGTAATCTATATATCGGCAAAATTATTGGGGGGCACGCCCCCCTCGGTTCCTACGGCCATGTTGATTAAATTTAGGGTCACTAAGGAAAGAATGTTTTGACTGGATGAATGGTCTGAAAGAACATGTGTTAACTTGTCGAGTCGGTTACACATAGATGGGGTTTTCTTATAACCAGAGTGTGTCATGGTTTGATGCAAGGTCATTTGAACGAGTTCAAGGTCATCAACGGAGAAATAACATTCCTTAACTGTCTTTCTACTGGGGAGACATTGCAAGTTGATACCCCTTACAAGATTGCTTATAACCTTAGAATGTGGCATGACCTTGACTCAAGGTCACTTCTTCCTGTTCGCAGCTCCAACGGAAGACCTACTCGTTGCTTTGCAACGAGCTCTGCTCTAGTTTATGATACTAGTTGATCGATTTAACCGCGGCGGGGACAGGTAGGTGATGAATTTCCCGCGGAGGGAACGCAGTTTACCTGTCTCACCTGGCCAAATCCAGCGTTGTGTTTATACCGCGACAGGGCTCGGGAAATACGGGATCCGCGTTGCCTGTACTGTACATGTATAGTCAATCAGATTAGAAATACAGCGACTATCAGAATTTCGGGCCGTAAAAAAGATTTGATTTTGATTAGATTTCAGGTGTAGGCGAATGTGTGTGTACTGAGGGGTTAGTTAATTCATTCAAGATTTATTATATTGTTCGTTTGGACGAAGGCTTCATAAAAATATACACACTGCTTGTACAGGTACATATCAATGAATGTTCAGATTAATTCAAAAATCGGCAGACATTAATTTAATTTAGTTATCTAAAGGCAATGTTATTTCCAGAGACATTTATATTTTCTGTCTTTTGTCTTGGATTTTTCTTTTTTGTGATTTACCGGTTTACAAAGGCCTGTGTTTTAACAGCTGTTCATAAACGCTGTCAATTTAAAATATATGATCAGAGAAAATGAGACATCTCCCGGTAATTCATTTCTTATGGAAAATATATGGATTGACATCTTAGTATTTACCTGGCGAGTGTGTAATTACGATGTTACAAACCGTGACGATGACTGGCCAGGAGGACTACCCGTTATGAAAACAACTCATGATCAACTCAGCGGACCTATAATTGACTTTAATATATGCTGTAAATCAATAAAATCATTTCAGTTTAACCGATATTTTATTGCAAAGATAATGGGAAAAAAAGACTTGGGATTTACAATTTTTCTGAATTTCAAACACTTGATATGCTTATATTTGGGGCGCTCTTGCATATGCACTTATAAAACGTGCACGTTCTGTACTTGCATGCGTGTACATTGTATGTATCCGTAAAACCTTAAGAGAGCTGATCAATAAATGTGTTCTGATTTTCAGAAAAAATAATGGGAACCTATAAATAATTACATGTTCATCATTTTGTTCGCATACAATAACAAGTTTAGTAGAAAAAAATAATTTGTTCAAGGTTAGGTGTCTAATAAATTTGTAATATTCAAATACAGTTACGCATGTATGTCTCATTCTACATATTTTGGAGGCGCGTGTGAATGTGGGACTTTGTATTTCCATACGCTCGATATGCATATATTTGGGGCGCTTTGTATATATACAGTTGTACATTTTAAGGGCGTCGACAAAAGAACGTATATTAGATTACATACATGTACATTTAAGTTTCAAAAGTTCCATTACTAGTAGGAATTAATTAAGGTTACATATTTTGAATTTTATTATGAATAAAACAGACAATTAACTCGATATCGAGAAATAAATTGTTTATAAAAATAACTATGCAACTTTCCTGTAATTCAGCCAATAAAATATTAAATAAAATACACTAGCGATTTAATCAAAGATATTATGAAATAATCTGAAAAATTCAACATATTTATCCACTCATGACTTAGTTTACAAAATGAATTTGGAATGGCCATTCTATGATTTGTTTTGTGTATGACTAGGTCGCTGGATCACACACGCCGATTGATCCCCGGTGACCTCCTTTGCCACGCGCTATCGAGGGAGGTGTTACATAATTGTAAACACACAAGGTGAATGTAAAAGGCGCACACTTAATGGCTGTAAATAGTCTATGCTTCAAAGTTATGTTTTATTTTCTCAATATATTGTTTGTTTTTATATGATAAGAAGAAAAGGTTATCTTTTTTCCCCTTTTTTTTAAAGACTGGTTTATTCGACTTTGAAAAAAATGAAATAAAACGAAAAGTTGTCAAAAAATAACTTGGAAATTAAGCACAAAACACTTCAAGAACCTTATTCTAAAGAATATTAGCATCTAATGTAGCCAGATTTATTATTTATAGTAAGTTTATTTTAGTTACACACATGAAGAGCTCTCGTTTAATTGCTGAATGAAAACAGTTACCTGTATATGGGTCAAGCTTCTGGCGCATTTAAAACACAAGACTCAAACAAAATAATGTTTTCATGAAATCAATAAGATGTTAAAGAACAACTTTTTTAACGACAGCCATTTCGAAATATTTACCGTTTTTGAGTTATAAAGGAAAAACTTTAAAGGGCTCCAGATCCCTAATTTGAGGGGCCAGCCCCTTTTTAGTGGTGTCAAATGAAAGGCCTTGAAATTGTGCACAACTTTTATTCTAAATGTCTTATCAAAATATGTTTAGTTTTAAAGATACAAAGGAAAATATGTCTAAATTTTCGCTCTTTTAGGCGTTCTAAATTTTGACCTTTAATTAGCGCCACTTTGAATACAGAAATCGAAAAACAAAAACCGATGTGCACAACTTCAATCCTTCTATTATCTAAATTTGGTAGAATTTCTGCTCCAGCTTTTGTAGTCTCGGAGCCTTTGTCTGGAAATGAAGCCTAATAAATTTTCATTTAAAGGGCAATAACTCAAAAGCGGAAGTGACTTTTTGAACTGTTTGACAGCATTCTGATAGAGTTTTGTAACGTCTATAAACTCTGCAAATTTGAGCAAAATCCGTTGAGAAATGAGCGAGATATGAGGTCTCAAAGTTGGCGTCTAGGAAAAAGAAGAAAAAAAAAAAGAATAATAATCTTAACCATCAGAATCAGTAGAAGGTCTTCCGTTGGAACGGAAGACCTTAACAAGATCGTATACTACACTGTATGACAATCGAGATGTCTTCAGTTTTTCCATCTTTAACTTCCCTTATTTATGTAGCAATATTCCAGCATACCTGCATATAGATTTATGTCTCTTTTTTGATTCGATAAGGCAATGCTCTGAATACGAGGCAAGCTACTGAAAAATAATTTGATGTTAAGAGGATTTCAAAATCCCATTTAAAGTCATCTTTTCGAAAATTCTACGGTCATTATAATAATTTTGTTTGTAAATACAACCTATCATTGGGTCTTATTTTAATTTGTCTGACATGTTCATTCCATTTGTTTTCAGACTATTTAACTACGAAGTGCTCCGATCAATACATAGAGCTTACGTCGGGTTTGCACATGTTTGCTTTGCTCTTTATTCACTTTGCTTAATATCAATTTTTAGCATGATTATTTTTAATAATCTTCACATTTCAGGAATTGATCATGGACAAAATTTTACCCAATTTATATTTTTTTCTGTAACATTCTTGGAGAAAATTAATATGAATACATTTCGAGACTTCATGAAATGTAGGTCTTTCTTTATTCATGTCTCGGGAAATCATTTAAATATATGTAATTTTATTGCTTTCATTTTGTTTCTTCTAAAAATGAAGATGGGATATTTTATAAAGTTTAAATATTTTGTATTTCTGATGTTTAATTAATTTAATATCAGTTGATATGTATAACTTCATAAACTAATTTTAAGTTAATGAAAATTGGATTAATTTCTAATCGACAAGGAACTACCAGTGAACCTCAGAGTACAGTACTCAATGCCTTGTTTGTTGATGTGTTATAATTTAAACTAATGTACATTGAACACATTGAAACCTCTTATCTTTCAAGTCATGAAAACAGATGTAGTGAAATAAATTATATTCTTATCCACAAACTGCTCCTCTCTCCGATCAGCAGATTTCATTATTTTCCATTACACACAAAGAGAGATTTTAAATGAGTCATTGGGATTACGCAGAATAGGCTGACGCCGACTGTATGACGAGTCTTATGGCGAGATTCCTATATTTTACACTTGAGCGAACATTTACACATAAATCGTAACAGTGCACTATTTCACTGTTTCAACGATCTATTTCCTAGCGGCAGTGACTTGAATCAAGGGCAGAGAACTAGAGTTCTCTTCATTTGACGTGATGGACGTGACGGAGATAGAGGAAACAATCGCCGGTGTCTGGTCATTTCACAGGGATGAGAACCTAGATGGATACCTGAAAGAATGCGGTAAGGAAAATATATTTCCTAAAACAAATTTTACTGTAATCATTTTACTTTTAATCTTATTTTCTATTGTTTCATATATCTAAGAATTTATAAGTTATGAAATCTAAAAGTTCTTAGATGTTTTTGAAGAGAGAAAAAGAGAGAGATAGAAAAAGGGAATTTGATAACCCGTTCTTGTGTAAATCTAAAAAACAATAAATGCGGCATTTTTTAAAAATTTATTTTAGATATTGCCATTTGTTTACATTTACTTCACTTAGATCTTGCCCTTACATTTATTTTATTCTATTATGATCAGGTGTGAATTTCATCTTACGCAAGCTTGCCCAGGCGGCCTGTCTGTGTATTACAATGGTGATATCTGTAGAGGATGGACAGTTACGGATACAAAATAAAGGCCCCAAAAACACAGACCACAAGGCTCACCTGGGAACAGAGATCCATATCACAGACTTAATGCATAATCCCATGAAGGTACGTTTTCTTTTTTTCTTTTTCAGGCGGTTGAACAACCTTTTCTAATTATTTGGTGCAATCATTTTTAAGACATCAACTACATGTTAATATATTTGGAGCAATCGTACCAGAAGTGAACATGAATGTAATTCTAAGAAAGACATGAAATTCCTGTAAATTATATTAGTTATTGTATATTCCAATCTTTAAGTATGAGTGTGCTCTATTTGCCGTTTCCTCAAACATATTTATATTTTCATACATTAATGACGATCTCTATCAATCGATTTTTTGTAATTTAATAAAACATCTCACATTGAATAAAGATTTGCATGATTTTAAATTCTGTGCACTCAGTAAATTCTATTATGAATTCTATAAAGCTAAGCTAATGTAATAATTCAACACATCAACCTAAATAAGATTTTATTAAAGTATTTAATTGTCCATGATTACACGTTTATAGGTGGACTATGAATAATAGCACTGTTGTTAGTTTTTGTTTGACATAGACCTTGCGTAACGGTTAAAACCATCATAATTGTTTACTTGTTAAAATAAAAAAAAATGGGATGCCCGTGATTCATAGCAATATAATAATATCAGGTCTGCAAGCAAACATATTTCTTGATAATTAAATTTCTGAAGCTCCTTCGTCTCTAAAACTCTTGTGGTGTGTTGCTCGTTTAAATCCCTCTGTACTGGGCGAACTTTGCTTTGACAGGTCCCTATATAATTAAGTGAACGTTAAGCTGATATGTGTGTATTGTTAATTCACAGGAGGTACATACGTGGTCTAATAATCAGTTGATCACGATATCGAGACCAACAGAGGGGTCTAAAGCACTTCCTACAAAGGTCATACGGGAACTTGTTGATGAGCATTTAGTCATGGTAAATAAATATGTCAATTTAAATTATTTACCTTTACTAAATTTTATGAAAGTTATATATCGCCATACTGAATACTGACTGTCATTTCTAAATTAACGAGGATATGTATAATGATTTTTGCATATGATTATATTAAAGTTTATGATCATAAATATTTATTACTTGATAATAGTAAATACTTATCTGGATACTTAGTAATGATTAATATGATTAAAAAAAACATGTTTTAAATACACATATCCTAAATTAAATTTTCAATTTGTATCAATTTCTAAAAATTTCTAAAAATTTTATTGATATCTTTTGATTTTGTTTTTTAGACTCTATTGGTTAACGATGTTGTCTGTAAAATGATTTATAAACGGAAATGTTAATCAGTCATTGGAGAAAATTACATAAAAGAAGAATCGGATATCAAAGATGTGCACATGAAATCAGTGAGTACTGTCCAGCTGCCATATGTGATTGTCAAGCTATGGAACGTATAAAATTGTATACAACAAAGTCTGGATACTTGATTTCTGTTGTGGTGGATGTAACAGAATTGAATGATGTGAATGTTAGTGATGAAATATCCCATGTGGCGGATCCAAGTACGTGTAGCAGGGTAAATGGAACGTGCAACAATTTTTGTGTCCCACGTTATATGTACAACAAAAATGGTGCTGTATTTGTGATAATTTAAGAGATATTGTTACATATTTGAGAAAAAATGCTCTGTAATAAATGTCAGATAAAGATTGAGAACGGAATAACAATCTCAATAGAGAATTCCTGCAAAAATATGCCTTCAAAACCTTCATTTCGTAATGATCATTTTGTCTGTTTGTTTAGTACTATTCTCTGCTAAATGTTCCAGACAATAAAAATTGGTTGATATCTTCGTGTTATTCCGAAGTAAGATTTCATTAAACAAATTATGCTTTGGGTGATTGACGTCAAAATTACAGAAATGGGTTTACTAAATATAGACATAAAAATGTTTCAAAGACAATATTAACATATGTATACAAGAAAAAGATATTCTTTTGTTTACATTGGTTTAAATAGAAATGACCTAACACCAATGGTTTAAAGTGGCGAAAAATAGATGCATCATTTAAAAAAGAATAAAGCAATCCCGTTCCGGTTAGGTTACATATTTAACACTACTGTGTAGAGCGTTTATCTACCTTAGTCTTTATTGTGCCCCATTGTCAATGATCTCTATTTGATGCATTTAAACTTTGTTGTAATTATTATTTATAGAACTGAAAATTTTCAGTCATATACATTGGTGTCCAAAATCTGGTCTTCATATCCCATGGAAGGAATTCAATATTACATTTATCTCTAGAGTAAGTAAAATGATATATTTAATATATATGATATATGTAATATACGTGTTACTGACATGTTACAAGAGATATGTCTTTGAGAGAACTTGAATTAATCCCAGGACGAGTCCAAACGTGTTAAAGTTTGTTTTTTTTTTTTTAATGTTAAAATGAATCGGGGATTTTGATATACATATTAAAAGAAGATGGAAAGATTTTAATGATTTAGAGGTAAATTTAACCAAGAACCAATCATTGTCAAGCAAAATCCTGATATTTTTTTATTTGTTTTTAATTTTACGTGCACTTTTCCTCTATAATATACAATATATAGCCTTAGTTAATGCAAAAGGTGCATAAAAAGGACAAAATAATCCAAAAAAAAAATTCTATTGATAAAGAAAATGAATATTTTGGAAACGTTGAGCATCCATTTTTTACGAATTCTCACGTAATCAACTATCATAAAGTCTTGTGTCCTGCTTTTTCAACACATCTAGGGCAACGGGGGGGGGGGGGGGGGGGGGCAGTTCGAGATTCATTTCATAGGTGACAAAATCAAATAATGTTTCAATCGTTTTTTTAAATTAATCCTGCAATGCATTTGATAGCGAGAATTTCTTTAACAGAAACATTCATAAGGTCTATATGCAATTTGATTCCTATGCAATTATAGGTATTCATGTATTACCAAATTCAAATGCTTTGGCAGATACAGGATTGTCCATAAAGTTCGTGGACAATTACATTTTTGTCAAACTGAATGGTCCTAGATATACTTCTTGTATACCAAGATATTTCTTAAGAAAATCCAGGATAGAGCAGTTTGGTTTTGATCATTTGAACTTGATATTTTCGTAAAAATCATGGACTTTAAGGGTTGCAGATATTGTGCTTTGCCCAGAGTTTAAATGAAATGGACATAGAATTAAAGTTTTCAGATAAAAATCAACACTTTCTTCATAAAACAAGTCAAAGCATAATTGAAAATTAATCGCAAATAAAGCGGCTTCATCATTTTCTGATACCTTTAAAATCGTTAAATTGGTAAGACAGTGACAATATTAAGAAAAAACGCAAAAAAGAAAAGGTCAAGGTAAAAAACAGTGAACGATCTGAAAAAAAACTACAAACAGTACAAATCTGTGAACAGGGAATAAAACACTGACCCCCGGAAATTGCAGAGGTTGGTTCAGGTGCCTAGGAGAAGTAAGCATCCCCTGTCGACCGGTCACACCCGTCATCAGCCCTATGTATTGATCAGGTAGACGGAATATTCCGTATCAAATTAAGTATAAAAAAACAAAGACCTAACAATTGGTTAATACACGTTAGCAAAAATACGACCCAGAGATATGTTTTATTGGCTACCAAGGGCATTATAACGACTATAGAGTTTACTGACTTAAACGAGGTTGTTGAAATCCCTGTACATCAACTTATTTGTCAGTTGTCTGCCTTGGTTTAAATATTGGTCGTATTCAGAGCATGCTTTGGAGTATCGAATACGTTGGGAGACGTAAACTCAATATTGCAGATGATCATGGAATATTACTATATTTGGATATATTGAGTTGACGCATGAATGACCATGCATTGATAATTGATGAAACGTAGTAGATAAATAGAATTTTTTTTTATTCTTTTTCATAGGAATATAAAAACAGGTCAGCTAATAACAGAGCACAATAAGCACTTGAAGATCTTTTCTTTTAGACCACATATATATTGTCAATGAAGAATTCCAGCATCTTTTTTTATATCAACTTCAGAGCACTTTTGTGTTGAATAATAATAATAATTTTATGCAGATGACCAAAGGCAAGATATGAACATTTATTAAGGAAGCAGTTGTCTATGTTGCCCTTGATTAGCTGACATGTTTTTTACCTGAAGTGGAAGTTATCCAAACACTTCATCATTTGAAGAAGAGAATTCTTCTTGTGGCCATTTAACTCAACATTTATTTATATGGACGTTTTATCAATTAACAATATTTACTTTCATTCATATGTCGATTCGATTAATTAAACAATATTTTATTATGATTAAACATAACTGGATTGGACAGCAGGCACTGCCTATATAAGTCCTCTCCACAATACAGGTCAAGTCATACATGTTACAAGTAAATATTAATTACATAACATTGAAAAAAATATATACATGTGAATATTCTAAAGAGATTTATAAATATATATATATATATATATATATATATATATATATATATATATATATATATATATATATATATATATATATATATATATATAAAAGAAGACAAAATAAGTAGGGGAAAAAATATAAATGAGCTGATGATACTATATAAGTTTGCATTTAACATATATGACTCATAATTATAATAATACAAGTATAAATGTGAAAGTTAATAAGAACACATAAATAGATGTTGGTTCTGTGGTTTGACAAAATTTAAAAAAAGAAGAATCAATATCATGCAAATCTCTTTGTAGATGCAATAAATTCTTGAACAATTTTAAATACAGCAATATTTCGGTTGTAAGTAAGATTATCGTCTCCATTCAAAATAAGCTGTAAGGATATAGGCATTGGTAATTGCAAAGTATTAAAGTTTTGCATAAGGTTTTGCCTTTGTACACAATATTTTGGACATTTCATAAAAAAGTGAAATGATGTTTCAGAGCTATATCTGCACATGTCACAATTTTGATCTTCCCTTAAAAAATGATTAAATAAATCAGCATTTAAATTACTAGCATTATTTCGCAATTGACAATGTAATATATTCATTTTACGACTTCCATAGTTGTAATATTTCTTAGGTTTTAAGCAGTATATATTTTTTATGGCAGTCTTGAATGATGAAAGTGTAGAAAGGTTTCGAATATTAAAGGGTAAATCATTCCAAGTCTTATAGTTGAAGGAAGGAAACTTTTCATAAATGAAGTCGTTTTGGCTTGTGGGATATGAAATGTAAGCTTGTCCTGATTCCTTAAAGGATAAGAATTATGTGGTAAAATGCATTGTTGTAATAAATCTTGCAAATACTGGGGAGCTAATCCATACACTATTTTATAAAATAACACTAGTTTATGTATTTTTCTTCTTATTTCCTGAACCTTTTCAATGTTGGAGCAATATGTCGATTCGATACATCCCTGTGAACTGAAATAAAAGACACCATAAAGTCTGACATCTTTTTTCATACTTGGATATTTTATTGACTATAGACGATAATGGACAATTAACAACTAAATTATATGACAAACGATATGACTTCAACTTTTCTATCATAATATTTCCTTATTTATCTACTAATATCCCGCTATCATCGTTAAAAGAAAGTATTACATGCTGCATTCTTTATTTTAAAGAATTTAGTCATGCCAATAATGCTATTTCACACAATAGCATTTATTTAATACAAGACGCTTGAGTTGCCTGAAAGTAATGCTTTCTTCCTTGACATTTTTTTTTAAATTTTACATTTCTATCAAAACTAAGAATACTGCAGCCTTAAAAAATTGGATAGATTCCAATAATTACATGTTCATGTTCTTCTTCACCCTACAACTATAGTCCTGCTGGACTGGTGACGTAAATATAGTTCATAATGAGGACCTTAAACTTAAATCATTAAAACTTATTGATTTTAAATGGGCCAAAATTAAGAGAACCCCGATCTTTGACCTGGCGTCAAAATTTCATAAATATTAAGGATTCTGTGGAAGATTACACCAGGCGATGGGCCAGACATACAAAAGAAGACCTTGACAAGATGTCAATATGAATTAAATGTATCAGATGTATGATAAAATCTCGAATTTAGCGATTTAGCGGAAAAATGAAAACCAACTATCCTTCTATATTCAATAATTCAGAAGTGAAAAAAGAATTAAATAGATTACACGATCAGTATGTACTGGTCCCCTCTGACAAAGCAGGTAACAACATTGTGTTTGTTTGTAAGGCTCATTATTTCCAAGTGGTAATTCAACTTATACCCATAGCCCCCTTTCTAAAGGTAAATTCTTCAAAATCATATGTCATTTTTGAGTATTTTTAATACACCCAACAACCAACATGAATT